GTGGAGAGTATACTCCACTTTAGGGGATGGCGAATAGTATGGTGGTGGTGGAGAACTATAGACATACGGTGGAGGAGGAGATTGTAATCTACCTTAGGAGATGGTGAATAGTATGGTGGTGGTGGCGAACTGTAGACATACGGTGGTGGAGGAGATTTGTACTCTACTTTAGGAGATGGTGAGTAGTATGGTGGTGGTGGAGAACTGTAGACATATGGTGGTGGAGGAGACTTGTAGTCTACCTTTGGAGATGGGGAGTAGTATGGTGGTGGTGGGGAGCTGTAGACATATGGTGGTGGAGGAGACTTGTACTCAACTTTAGGAGATGGTGAATAGTATGTTGGTGGTGGTGGGGAATTATAAACATATGGTGGTGGAGGAGACTTGTATTCGATAGGGGATGGAGAGTAATATGGCGGTGGTGGTGGTGAACTGTAAACATAGGGTGGTGGAGGAGATTTATAGTCCACTTTAGGCGCTGGAGAGTAATATGGTGGTGGTGGAGAACTGTAAACATCTGGTAATGGAGGAGATTTGTATTCTACCTTAGGAAGTGGTACAGAATATGGTGGTGGTGATGAGCTATCCGTGTATGGCTCATATGCAGCAACCATTGTTGCCATGATGATAACTCCTATAGCGTAAACAAGATGGGCAGAAGGCCCCATTCTAGAAGAAGATATCATCAGGCAAGTTTTTCTTTTTTTGGTTTGTATTTTAAAGAATGGGTGCATGGGTTTATATAGCGAAGCTTTTCTCTAAATCCAGCTATACTTTCCCTGTTGTTTTGAACTCCATCCAACTAAGTCGTGGAAGCATGTCTACACGATACTAGTTGGAGACGACGTGCAAGAACGTTGACGAGCCACTTTCCATATTATATTTAGCATACATCAATTTTATATATTTATGGATGTATTATTTTGGTCAACGGGCTAGTTTACTTTTGTTTTTACCTTTTTGGGGTCACTTCATATCAATTTTTAGACTTTGCTGGATCTTGAATTTTTTATAATAGTTTTTTTTAAATAAAATGTATAATCTATTTAAATGCTTATATATGTGTTTATAGCTATATCTTCGTAAACATAGTATAGTATTTAACCTTTTCATAGATATTTTATAAATAATATATGATTTTTCTTGTGTTGAAAGTTGAAGGGCTTTTTAATGTTATTTTTATGCTTTATTAATTAGAATTAAAAAACTTTTATTTAACATATACCTTTTTCGTTTGAGTATTAGTATTCTAAAAAGTGAGTGTAATTGTCCGGGTGAGAATCCGGATTCTATAGTACGGTTAAATTTGTTTAGCTTTAGAAAACTTCATGTGTTGGAAACAGCCGAAGAGTGTGTAGTGTAAGACTCGTCCACTGAAAGCAAACATTTACTCCATCTATAGTTAATAGTTTCCAAGCCTCCGAGATTTATATATGCGTTATTATCATGGTCTTAAAAGGGCCCTCCAAAAGATAAAATAGAGTGTCTTCTCGAGTACTTTCTGATGCTCAAGCCAATATGGACAACATGATTAGACGAAAAGTTAGTTCTCAATGGACTAGTAATGCTTAAGTTCTAAGTCTTCTTAGAAAGTGGTTCAAGACCCAATATGATGTATCCCCTAGTCTAGAGGTCATCGGTTCGAGTGGTATTTGGGAAGAAACCATATAAAATGCTTAGATTCCTGGCATGAGGAGATGTACGGGTCTACGTCCATAACCTTTTAGTTACTAAAAAAAAAAAAGATGTACCCCTTAGTCCTAGGCAAAATAACTCAATACTCGAAGCGAAACAACATGAAAATTACTCGAATTGAACCAAAACAGATTTTTAAAATACATGAATGGTCCTAACCTCTGTAACTGAAGAACCTGAACCGAACCTGATACCTATAGGTACCCAAAAATATCTGAAATACAAGTATATCTAAAAATATTAGTTATACTTATACGTAGAATAACCCAAATATCCAAAATTACAAATATGAACCCGAATATATTAGATATTTTCTAGTAGTTCAGGTATTCGGGTACATTTGGGTAAAAAATAATCAATGCTTTTGTTTTTTTCTGGGTATTTTTGGATACATTTGGGTAAACAATAATCCAACACGATCTAAATCCAAAAGTATGTCAGGTATTTTTCTGTTCTTAACACAAATACCCAAACCGACTGGAACCCAAAAAATACGAATTGAATATAAATTTGTTTTCAGGTATCTTACATATTTTTGGATAATTTGTGTAGATTTGGATGATACAATTGTAATTTTCCGGGTATATCGTGTACTTTCGAGAAATTTGGGTAGATTTAGGTATATTGGGTGATAAAATTACAATTTTTTTAAGTACTTGGGTAATTTTGGGTAAGTATGGTAGTATTGAGTCGATTGAGGTAAAAAAATAAACAACACGAACAACATCTAGAAAGTTTCTAGTACTTTACTCAGTATACACACCCTAACAAATCTGAACTCGAAAAGAATGGAACCGAAACCGAATCGAAGATGTAAAATATACCAAGACCTAAAGCTCAAGAACTGAAAACCCCATCCCAAAAGGAACCAAACTGGACCCGACAACGAGTTACCAAATGTCCCCGCCTAATTTGATGTTTGGTGTAACGGTTTAATAACTTTGTATTTAAAATTATTTATATATGTTTTAGCAAAAACTCTATATAATAACGAAGTAATTTATAAATACATTGTTGACAAATTAAATCAATTGTAAATTACTATGTGACTAGGATAGAAATATATATAAAAAAATATTTTGATACAACAATATGGTGTTTAACATAAATTATATTTTTCAGAGTCTAAATAAGTACTCCCTCCGTTTCAAAATGTAAGAAGTTTTAAGGTTTTGCACGCAACTTAATAAAAACTATATTTTTAATCTAAATATTCTTTTTGATTCTTAAAGCATTGAATAAAAGCAAAGAACATGTTATACTACATGTATGTAATAAAATTACATTTACTTTTGAATTTTTTTTATTATTATTTTACATTAGGATGATAAAACGTCTTATATTTTGAAACAAAAATAAGATGTCACAACGTCCTATATTTTGAAACGGAAGGAGTATATTTTTGTTAAAAAATTGACAAAAATGAAGAAAAAGTGGGTAAAAAAAAGAGGTGAATTAATGTGGTGGAAAAAATATAACGACCCGACCGTCATCTCTCTTAATGGGCCCTACGTTCTCTCTCGGTCTATGGGCCCATCATCTTCTAACGGCCGGTCCGCTACGTCCGGGAGGCTTTAAAGACTTGTTTACCGACCCTACAAATCACCACATTATCTTTTCCTATGTTTTATCCTCACTCACACAGTTCCGACAATCACTTCCATGAAGGTCATCTATCTGAAATTGTTCCAGCTCAAGCACTTTTAACTGTAGAGTTCTCTCTGGACAGTTGACCGAAAAGATAAGTGCACTTTGGTGACATAGGTGGCCAAATCAATTCTTTTAAACTTCTCCGGATGCACCACCATATTCCTGAAACTGGGTGTTACAATTCACCTCCATTAACAGATCGCAACGTCCTCGTTACGCACTAAGACCGTCACCCCCAACGGTGTGAGCCCTCTTGACTCCACACTCGTCTGGGTTCGGCTCTGATACCACTTGTAACGACCCGACCATCATCTCTCTTAATGGGCCACACATCTCTCTCGGCCCATGGCCCACCATCTTCCGACGGCCGGTCCGCTTTGTCCAGGAGGATTTAAAGACTTGTTTACCGACCCTACAAATCACCACCTGATCTTTCCCTTTGTTTTGTCCCCACTCACACAGTTCCGACAATCACTTCCCGGAAGGTCACCCATCATGAAATTGCTCCAGCTCAAGCACCTTTAACTGTAGAGTTCTCTCAGGACAGTTGACCGAAAAAATAAGTGCACTTTGGTGACATAGGTGGCCAAATCAATTCTTTTAAATCTTTCCGCATCCACCACCATATTCTTTAATTACCAGGGTCAGGGTGTTACAAAAAACCAAGCGTACATAAATACTCCATCTGTTTCAATATATAGGATGTTTTAGAGTTTTTATTTTGTTTCAAAATATATGATGTTTTCCAACTTTCTATGCAACTTTAAATATATTTGATATTTTATGACTTTTTGTATTCTGCAGTCTATTTCCTAATTGGTTGAATTTTTTAAATAAATTCTTAAATGATAGTTTTAAAAGAGAAAATAAATTTTCTTAAAATATGTGCTTTTAACCTAAGCATCCTATATTTTAAAACAGAAGGAGTAATAAATAATAAATTACATATATTCTCCCCTATCAAAAAGATTGATTTTATAGAGTTTTCACACTAATTAAAAAAAATATTTAATTTTAGTTATAAATGCATAATTTATTCATACCAAACCATTTCTCATAGCTATTAACCAATAGTAATTCATCAAATTTTTAAAATTTTCAGTTAATGATTCTTGAAATTCACAATTTATTAAAATTAATTGATAAAAATTTACAGAAAATCAATCTTTTTAATATAAAGTTAAAACCTCAAAAATCATTAACTTATATTCTTTGAATCATTAATAGTAAATCATTAATAAATATGCCCTCCTAAAATTTGTCTAAAATTCAATGCCGTAGGCCGTTGCATCTTTTTTTAGGCCTGGGAATTGGACCCGATCGGTTTATTCGGGTTCGGTTTCTCGGTTTTCCGGTTATTTCGGAATTTGAATGCTATTCCGTAACTAACCGACTAAGATTTCGGTTCGGTTCGGTTCGGACACGGTTATCTCGGTTTTTGCAATTTGGTTATTTCGGTTTAGTTGTTTTGGGCCAAAAATGGGATGTCTGTTTTTTTTTGTGGAATTAAGTGTTGGGCCAAAAATGGGCTGTCTGTTTTTTTTTTTGTGGAATTAAGTGTTGGGCTTTCTCTAAAAAAAACATAATTGGGGACAAATAAAATAAAATAAAAAAACAGAGAAAAAGAAGATTTTGTGTCGAGAAGAAATCGACGAAGCAACAACGACCGACGAACTGATGACTGGAGACACCGGCGGCGAGATCTGTAAGGTGGAGCTCGTGTATAGATCTGAAAGGCGAAGAAGATGATGATGTTCAAAGATGGTGAATCGAAGAAAAAGATGTTGGTGATGGATCAAAGAAGAAGAAGCTGTTGAGTAATAGATCGAAGAAGAAGTTGAAGAAGAAGATGATGAATGATTGATGAATCGAAAAAGAGAAAGAAGATTGAAGAAGAAAAGGAAGATAAAGATGATGATGAATCGAAAAAGAGAAAGAAGAAGAAGAATAAAAGGAGTAATCGAAGAAGATTATGAAGAAGAAGAGCGGCTAGGGCATTATTAGGTTAGGGTTTCTGTATTTCGGTTAACCGTTCGGTTTGCTCGAACCGAACCGAAATTTTCGGTTAACCGAACTAAATTAAAACCCTTTCCGATCGGTTTAACTCAATTAAGTGGAACCGAACCGATTTGTCCAAATCTCGGTTCGGTTCGGTTCGGACAAATCGGTTCGGTTCAAAATCTCAGGCCTATCTTTTTTTATCAAATAGGGACCGACAGAAAGAGTTTTCCTCGTAGACCGTTCATTTCTGACGGCATCTTCGGTGAGCAGATGATTTGTCTTTCTGTCCTCATGTTCAAATAATTATTGGTGACTAAATAATTCATCCCAGAAAACAACCAATCATTCAAAAATATTATAATTGCAAATAC